CTGACGAGTTTACAGTGGAATGGCAAACAGCAGTAACTAAAGAATTGACAACGGAAGATAAGAAAACTACCAATGCAACCACTATAGAATCGTTAACTAACCTGTGGACCATGGTAAGTTTATCGAATGAAGAATCATCTACTGTACAGAAAACGACAGCTGATGTAGCAACTGAGTTAGCAACAATAGAAGAATCAACAGTGTTCGAAGCTACTACTGAAAAATCAACAGCTGAATGGAAAACAACGATTGATATAACAAGTAAAAACATCACAACAAAAGACGAAATAACAATTGTTGCAACTACTGAGAAATCCTTAACTGATGAGATGACGACCGTTAATGTAACAATCGAAGAGTCATCATCTTTTCAGAAAACAACTGCTGATGTAACAACTGAAGTACCAACATCGGAAGAAAATACAGCAGTCTATGCAACTTCCGTAGAATCAACAGCAGAATGGCAAACATTGTTGGACATAACAACTAAAGAATTGATGACAAAAGACATTACAACGGTTGATTCAGCTACTGAAGATTCATTAACTGACGAGAAGACAATGGTTGTTAATGTAACAGTTGAAGAACTATCAACAATTGAGAAAACAACTGCTGATTTAACAACTGAAATACCAGCAACAAAAACATCAACAGAGGTCGATACTATTAGTGATAAATTTACAGTGGAATGGCAAACAGCTGTAACTAAAGAATTGACAACGGAAGACAAGAAAACTACCAATGCAACCACTATAGAATCGTTAACTAACCGGTGGACCACAGTAAATGCAACAAATGAAGAATCATCTACAGTACAGAAAACGACTGCTGATGTAGCAACTGAAGTACCAACGTCGGAAGAAAATACACCAGTCTATATAACTTCCATAGAATCAACAGCGGAATGGCAAACATTGTTGGACATAACAACTAAAGAATTGATGACGAAAGACATGACAACAGTTGATTCAGCTACTGAAGATTCATTAACTGACAAGAAGACAATGGTCGTTAATGTAACAGTTGATGAACTATTAACAATTGAGAAAACAACTGCTGATTTAACAACTGAAATACCAGCAACAAAAACATTGACAGAAGTTGATACTACTGACGAATTTACAGTGGAATGGCAAACAGCAGTAACTAAAGAATTGACAACGGAAGATAAGAAAATTACCAATGCAACCACTATAGAATCGTTAACTAACCGGTGGAACACGGTAAGTTTATCGAATGAAGAATCATCTACAGTACAGAAAACGACAGCTGATGTAGCAACTGAGGTAGCAACAATAGAAGTATCAACAGTGTTTGAAGCTACTACTGAAAAATCAACAGCTGAATGGAAAACAGTGATTGATATAACAAGTAAAAACATCACAACAAAAGACGAAATAACAATTGTTGCAACTACTGAGAAATCCTTAACTGATGAGATGACGACCGTTAATGTAACAATCGAAGAGTCATCATCTTTTCAGAAAACAACTGCTGATGTAACAACTGAAGTACCAACATCGGAAGAAAATACAGCAGTCTATGCAACTTCCGTAGAATCAACAGCGGAATGGCAAACATTGTTGGACATAACAACTAAAGAATTGGTGACGAAAGACATGACAACGGTTGATTCAGCTACTGAAGATTCATTAACTGACGAGAAGACAATGGTTGTTAATGTAACAGTTGAAGAACTATCAACAATTGAGGAAACAACTGCTGATTTAACAACTGAAATACCAGCAACAAAAACATCAACAGAGGACGATACTATTAGTGATAAATTTACAGTGGAATGGCAAACAGCTGTAACTAAAGAATTGACAACGGAAGACAAGAAAACTACCAATGCAACCACTATAGAATCGTTAACTAACCGGTGGACCACGGTAAATGCAACAAATGAAGAATCATCTACAGTACAGAAAACGACTGCTGATGTAGCAACTGAAGTACCAACGTCGGAAGAAGATACATCAGTCTATATAACTTCCATACAATCAACAGCGGAATGGCAGACATTGTTGGACATAACAACTAAAGAATTGATGACAAAAGACGAAACAACGGTTGATTCAGCTACTGAAGATTCATTAACTGACGAGAAGACAATGGTCGTTAATGTAACTGTTGAAGAACTATCAACAATTGAGAAAACAATTGCTGATTTAGCAACTGAAATATCAGCAACAAAAACATCCACAGAAGTTGATACTACTACTGACGAATTTACAGTGGAATGGCAAACAACAGTAACTAAAGAATTGACAACGGAAGATAAGAAAACTACCAATGAAACCACTATAGAATCGTTAACTAAGCGGTGGACCACGGTAAATTTAACGAATGAAGAATCATCTATAGTACAGAAAACGACAGCTGATGTAGAAACTGAGGTAGCAACAATAGAAGAATCAACAGTGTTCGAAGCTACTACTGAAAACTCAACAGCTGAATGGAAAACAGCGATTGATATAACAAGTAAAAACATCACAACAAAAGACGAAATAACAATTGTTGCAACTACCGAGAAGTCCTTAACTAATGAGATGACGACCGTTAATGTAACAATCGAAGAGTCATCATCTTTTCAGAAAACAAATGCTGACGTAACAACTGAAGTACCAACATCGGAAGAATATACACCAGTCTATACAACTTCCATAGAATCAACAGCGGAATGGCAAACATTGTTGGACATAACAACTAAAGAATTGACGACAAAAGACATGACAACAGTTGATTCAGCTACTAAAGATTCATTAACTGACGAGAAGACAATGGTCGTTAATGTAACAGTTGAAGAACTATCAACAATTGAGAAAACAACTGCTGATTTAACAACTGAAATACCAGCAACAAAAACATTGACAGAAGTCGATACTACTAGTGACGAATTTACAGTGGAATGGCAAACACCAGTAACTAAAGAATTCACAACGGAAGATAAGAAAACTACCAATGCAACCACTATAGAATCGTTAACTAACCGGTGGACCACAGTAAATTTAACGTATGAAGAATCATCTACAGTACATAAAACAACTGCTGATGTAGCAACAGAGGTAGCAACAATAGAAGAATCAACAGTGTTCGAAGCAAATACTGAAAAATCAACAGCTGGTTGGAAAACAACGATTGATATAATAAGTAAAAACATTACAACAAAAGACGAAATAACGATTTTTGCAACTACCGAGAAATCCTTAACTGATGATATGACGACCGTTAATGTAACAATCGAAGAGTCATCATCAGTTCAGAAAACAACTGCTGATGTAACAACTGAAGTACCAACATCGAAAGAAAATACACCAGTCTATACAACTTCCGTAGAATCAACAGCAGAATGGCAAACATCGTTAGACATAACAACTAAAGAATTGGCGACAAAAGACATGACAACGGTTGATTTAGCTACGGAAGATTCATTAACTGACCAAAAGACAATGGTCGTTAATGTAACAGTTGAAGAACTATCAACAATTGAGAAAACAACTGCTGATTTAACAACTGAAATACCAGCAACAAAATCATTGACAGAAGTCGATACTACTAGAGATAAATTTACAGTGGAATGGCAAACAGCTGTAACTAAAGAATTGACAACGGAAGACAAGAAAACTACCAATGCAGCAACTATAGAATCGATAAGTAACCGGTGGACCACGGTAAATTTAACCAATGAAGAATCATCTACAGTACAGAAAATGACTTCTGATGTAGCAACTGAGGTATCAACAATAGAAGAATCAACAGTGTTTGAAGCTACTACTGAAAAATCAACAGTTGAATGGAAAACAGCAATTGACATAACAAGTAAAACCATCACAACAAAAGACAGAATAACGATCGTTGGAACTACGGAGCAATCCTTAACTGATGAGATGACAACCATTAATGTAACAATTGAAGAGTCATCATCAGTTCGGAAAACAACTGCTGATGTAACTGAAGTACCAATATCGGAAGAAAATACACCAGTCTATACAACTTTCGTAGAATCAACAGCGGAATGGCAAACATCGTTAGACATAACAACTAAAGAATTGATGACGAAAGACATGACAACTGTTGACTCAGCTACTGATGATTCATTAACTGACCAAAAGACAATGGTCGTTAATGTAACAGTTGAAGAATTATCAACAATTGAGAAAACAACTGCTGATTTAGCAACTAAAATACCATCGACAAAAACATCAACAGAAGTCGATAGTACTAGTGACAAATTTACTGTGGAATGGCAAACAACTCTAACTAAAGAATTGACAACAGAAGATCAGAAAACTACCAATGCAACCACTGTAGAATCGTTAACTAACCGGTGGACCACGGTAAATTTAACGAATGAAGAATCATCTACAGTACAGAAAATGACTTCTGATGCAGCACTTAAGGTATCAACAATAGAAGAAACAACAGTGTTCGAAGCTACTACTGGAAAATCAACAGCTGAATGGAAAACAGCGATTGATATAACAAGTGAAAACTTCACAACAAAAGACATGACAACGATCGATGAAAATACCGAGCAATCCTTAACTGATGTGATGACGACCGTTAATGTAACAATAGAAGAGTCATCATCAGTTCAGAAAACAACTGCTGACTTAGTAGAATCAACAGCGGAATGGCAAACATCGTTGGACATAACAACTGAAGAATTGATGACGAAAGACATGGCAACAGTTGATTCAACTACTGAAGCTTCTATTACTGATCAAAAGACAATGGTTGTTAATGTAACATTTAAAGAGCTATCAACAATTGAGAAAACAACAGCTGATTTAACAACTGAAATACCATCAACTAAAACATCGACAGAAGTCGATTCTACTAGTGACAAATTTTCAGTGGAATGGCAAACAGCAGTAACTAAAGAATTGACAACGGAAGACAAGAAAACTACCAATGCAACCACTATAGAATCGTTAACTAACCGGTGGACCACAGTAAATTTAACGAATGAAGAATCATCTACACTACAGAAAACGACTGCTGATGTAGCAACTGAGGTATCAACAATAGAAGGATCGACAGTGTTCGAAGCTACTACTGAAAAATCAACAGCTGAATGGAAAACAGCGATTGATATAACAAGTAAAAACATTACAACAAAAGACAAAATAACAATCGTTGCAACTACCGAGCAATCCTTAACTGATGAGGTGACGACCGTTAATGTAACAATTGAAGAGTCATCATCAGTTCAGAAAACAACTGCTGATGTAACAACTACAATACTAACATCGGAAGAAAATACACCAGTCTATACAACTTCTATAGAATCAACAGCGGAATGGCAAACATCTTTGGACATAACAACTAAAGAATTGGTGACGAAAGACATGGCAACGGTTGATTCAGCTACTGAAGATTCATTAACTGACCAAAAGACAATATTCGTTAATGTAACAGTTGAAGAACTATCAACAATTGAGAAAACAACTGCTGATTTAACAACTGAAATACTAAGAACAAAATCATCGACAGAAGTCGATACTACTAGTGACGAATTTACAGTGGAATGGCAAACATTAGTAACTAAAGAATTGACAACGGAAGCCGAGAAAACTACCAAAGCAAGCACAAAAGAATCGTTAACTAACTGGTGGACCACGGTAAATTTAACGAATAAAGAATCATCTACAGTACAGAAAACGACTGCTAATGTAGCAACAGAGGTAGCAACAATAGAAGAAACAACAGTGTTAGAAGCTTCTACTGGAAAATCAACAGCTGAATGGAAAACAGCGATTGATATAACAAGTGAAAACTTCACAACAAAAGACATGACAACGATTGATGAAACTACCGAGCAATCTTTAACTGATGAGATGACGACTGTTAATGTAACAATTGAAGAGCCATCATCAGTTCAGAAAACAACTGCTGACATAGCAACTGAAGTACCAACATCGGAAGAAGATACACCAGTCTATACAACTTCCATAGAATCAACAGCGGAATGGCAAACATTGTTGGACATAACAACTAAAGAATTGGTGACGAAAGACATGTCAACGGTTGTTTCAGCTACTGAAGATTCTTTAACTGACCAAAAGACAATAGTTGTTAATGTAACAACTACAGTACCGAAAGCAACTGCTGATTTAGCAACTGAAGTATCAACAACAGAAAGAACTACAACTATAGATGCTGTTACTGAAAAGTCAACAGCTGAATGGCAAACTGTGCTTGATATAACAACTAAACAATTGACAACTGTAGACATAACAACGATCGAAGCAACTACTGAAGGATCGTTAACTGATCGAACAAATACATTTAATATAAATGTTACAACTGAAGCATTGTTGACTAAAGAAATTACACCTACAATTGCAACGATTTCTGTATTATCAACAGCAGACAGAATTACAGCTGATACTACTAATCCTACTACGTCTCAGAGTTATATAAGTGTGAATCCAGAGACTACTGTTATCACCACCACAACTCAAAGTGATTCAACAGCTGCATTTACAACTAATCTAGTGACTCAATCATATACCACTATATTACAAACAACACCGGGTATGTATACATCCTATAAATTAACATTATTTTACGGTACTGACTATTATTTCAAATATTTTCCTATTGTTAAATAATTCTACTATTAAGCAAAATTCATTTATGGTATTAGAGAAAACCTTTGAACTCCAAAGAACAAATATTATATATACTGTATGTAGACATTGATGCGATAAAAATCATACACATTTGACGTATTATATGAACATAATTTTATTAGGCACGAATATTTCGCCCTGTCTTCAGGTCTTTCTCAACGTGAATGAGTAAACAGTAGAAAATAATTACTGGGTGAAACAATGCATACACAGTTTATCTTACATAATCGGAGACCACTAGAGTGATTAAGGAATTAATTCTTAATAGTGAATGTATAACCACTAGCAAAGCTTAGATCTTTATTGAGTCCATTGATGTGTGATTTGATACATGTGATCCAATGTAATTCGGAGCAACATCTGTCTCTAGTAGCTTTGTAGTTACACCCTAATCTAAAAATTAATGAAAATTAGATTATCTATGGAGTGTTAACATGTATTCGTTTGAAAGCTATACTTAAATGTTTCTTTCATTTATGATAAATTATGGCCGCATAGAATACTGTTTTTATATTGTGCAATGAAGCTTGTTCTACAACAATATTATATGTTTTTAAAGATAATAATTTCTAAGTCAGTGATTTAGCACCTCAAGGCCATGCAGGCTAGGAAAAGCGGCCTGCGTATGTATACATTTAATCAAGGTGTTGTGCGTGATTTAGTCGAAGTGTTAATTGAAGTTCGTTTTTTTGAGATTTTAGTTATTTTATGCTGAAAGTTTCTTTTTAACAAATATCAAATCAATTTTTTTTTTAAACATGGAATTTTTGATGAGTATGGGGCTTTAAGCAAGTTATTCACCAAATAAGAACTCCCCTTTAATTCTTAATCTCTTTGAGCTAGTCAAAATAACCCTAATCCTAAAATTTGATGATAATCATGACTTAGCCGCCCCGATTCCACTACTTCCAATTCTTTCCAAAATACTTAAACGTATAATTTATGATTGAACTTTAAATACCAATTCCTTCAGAAGAACCATGTAATATTCAACAATCAATTTGTCTTCCGTAGAAGCTACTGTACATTCCTTTTTTAACATTTTAAATGCATTTCAATGACTTTTGCAAAGCCTTTGACACTATAGAACACCATGATATACTATTGTCCTAATTATGTGACTATGGAATTTGGGCCCTGCATATAATCAATTCAAATATTCTATATCTAATAAAATTGATCTGCTCGGTAGATACCAATTCTATGTACTAAAAATAAGAGAGGGTCTCTTGTGGATATTCCTGAGGAACTCCGCAGATATGGTTTAAGATCAGACTTTCTTTTATTCTACACGCAGACGACACAACCCTTATACCATCAACACTTGCATTAACTTGACATTTACAACTGGTAGTATTTGATTTTAATATTTGTTTAATTCTCTTCTAATTAATTTTCAAAACTGCAATTTTATGATTTTAGGGGTGGGTTGTGTTTCCATACCAGTATGGGTTGCAAATGTGACTATTGTGTATGTATGACGAAAGAGTTATTGTAACAACAAGAAGAAAAGTAAATTACCTCTATCTATTTTTATTCAGCGTAATGAGAACTAATACAATAAGAAATTAATATTCCTAAATTCTAGAATAACTTCCCACAACATTACTTAATTATACAGTTTGCAGTGATGGTTTGCAGTCATGTGCTGGTACTTCTGGATGCATCAATCCCAAATACTTTTGTGATTTAAAGAACCATTGTAGTAATGGTTATGATGAAACAATTGCAGCAGGTTGCGGTAAGTAAACACAAAAAAT